CCGGGGGTCAGCAGCACGGCCCCATCTGCGCTTTGGGCTCTGGGCTGTGGCTCTGTTGCTGTCCCCTGTCCCCACGGCTGGGCAGGGCCAGGGGACAACACAGGGACGTCCCTCAGCTGCAGGACACGGGGTAGGAGAGCTGGTGGCTCTGAATTGCTTCAGAGGAGGAGGAAGCCCCGAGTTCCTCCCGGCCATACTCTGGTGATGGTGCACATGAAGAGTTTTCCAGCTGCCCCCAGCTCATGGTTTGCTGTTTGACAATCCTGCTGGGAACCAACTGCGCTTCCTGGGGGAGGGAAAACAGAGAAAGGGGGGAAAAAAAGGAAAAAGGTAAAAACCAGATTGTTAAAGCTGCAGAAATGACCCTAAGTGAAGCGTGACAAGGTTTTGAACCAAATCCATGTGAGTATGGCTGTGACTAGTGTTTTCATTGGCCTTTTTTGGGGTGAAAAGGGCGCTGTGGCAGCAGCAGATGTATTTTCTGTGACTTCTTTTCTGTGTTTGACTGGAAAAAAAGAAAATCCCCTCAACCTACTGTAAATGGTGTATGAAACAAATTGTCCTACGGCTGTTTGTCTATTTTTAATCCTGGTTTTAGTCAAGCATCTGGTATCTGTTCTGGGTTCTCCATTCTCTCTTGTAACCGCTATAGTGCACCCCAGTTCAGTATGGAGCCACTGTTTCAGTAGACAAAGATTCCTGTGGGCCTTCCTCCACCCCATCTCTGTGACCACGCATGCCCTCGGTTCAGGTGGTTTGAAATCAGTGCTGCTACAACTCGATGGGTTCTCCCTTTTCCTTCCCCCCACGCTTGGTTTGTCATAGCTGGATCCGCTCAGCTCCTTCTCCTTGGCTTACCACGAAGTCTGGAATTTCTATCTCGTATTTGAAAGCCCTCTCTGAGCAGAAGGACTCTCCCTCTGCCCTGGAGTTCTCCCCAGCTTTCCTGCTCCCCGTGTTTGTGTTTGTAGCTGTATTAGTACCGGTGCAGTTCCCCCGTGCGAAAGTGCGAGCGACTGAACGTGTCTGTGCTGACCTCGCTGGGAAGGGAAGAACCCCACGTTTGTGACTCCTCCTCTCCTCCCTCCATCTCCTCCCCAGCCCAACACTTAGTTTAACAAATTCTGTACATAGAACTCCCATCGGTTGTGTCTCTACATTACTCTTCTTTTAAAACCTACACTTACTAATAAAAGTATTGCTTACGTGTGTTGTATCATTACATGTGTATACTGCACTTTCCAAGAGAAGCTTTACATGAGAACTATGGAAATGACCTTAGTAAAATTGTGGATAGAACTTTATTATTTTTTTGTTTTATATTCCTAAAGCACAGGTGAGCTGGACTGGAAAACATGAAGACGCTATAGATAGAAAGTTATTGTATAGTCAGATACTGAGATTATATGAAAAGAGAATGGATTTTAAAAAGTAACCATCTACTGTATATTAGAAACAAAGATTTCTGTGAATTAAAGTACTTTTAAAGAATGTTTAAGATTTTAAATCTAATGGCGCTTGTTCAAGGGTTCTGGAAAAAATGACAAATGCACTGGGTTGTTAATAATGCTATTAAATAAGCAGATGTGAATGTTTATTTTATTGCTTTTTCAAGTAGCTGTTCATGGGTGTGGGTGGAAATACGATATTTTAGAGATGTCTGTTCTTAAACCTCCTTCACCAGAAAATATTCACCATGTGCTTGCAGAGCGAATGGAATTGAGAGATGAGTGGAGACTGGGGATTCATTTTAAACTCTCCAGAAACTGTGAGTGCCTGGGCTGGTGCTGGTGCTGCTCCGAGCCGAGGGGTTTGTGTGAGAGCTGCTGCTCTGAGGGCACGGCTGTGCCAGGGGACACGTTTGGTGTCCCCTGAGGGGCTGAGACTCGGTGCTGGAGCGTGGCTGGAGGGGCTCCTGTCCCTCTGAAGGGCTCAGCAGGGTTCAGTGCCACCCCAGCAGGGCTGTTCTGCTCTGCCCAGGGCAGTGCCCCGGTGGTGGGATGGCAGCAGGGGCTGGAGCTGTTCTGGTGGATCTCCTGTCAGCACATGGAGCAATTTCCCTTCACCTCAGGTCGTGCTTTGGGTCAGGAACAAGCTCTGCCTTTGGGTAGCGGAGATTCGAAGGAATAGTTGGAATTTTAGTGTTGGTTCTTGCTTACTCTGAGGGGCTCAGGCTGGGAAGGGCCCCTGCCTTTGGAAACCTCCTGTTCATCTTTAACCAGATGAGTTCAGTCAGCGCCTCATTTCTGACGGTACCCACTGTGCTGGGAGCATCTGTCCCAAAACAGAAGGTGCAGCTCCCTGGGTTTGGACTGTCCAAGTCTTCTCAGGATCCCTTGAGACCGCCTTGGCCAGGGTTTCAGGTGCTGTGCACCTGCTGGGACAGTGGTGGGGGATCCTGGCTCTGTGGCAGATCTGCTTCGTCCTCCTCCAGCCCACTCAGCACAGGCCAGGGCAGCTGTGCAGGGCTCAGACTGCTCACGAGCTGCTGGGAGGTGGGCTGTGGGTTGGTGTGCCAGGACTGCAGCATTAAATTCCTTTTCCTCTGGAACTGGAGGCTCTGGATCTGCCTCCCGGCCTCCCACTGTCAGTGGCTTTGAGCAGAAACACCCGATCCTGCAAATTGTGCAGTGCCACAGGTGCCCCTGACCTTTGGTGCTGTGCTGTTCCTCCTTGCTGGGAGTGCTGGGTGGGGTTAGTTCTGTGCTGCTGTTTCATGGGATTGCTTCTAGAAATTGGAACAGTTTGCTTCTAGGAATTGCAGTACAAGGAAAACCTGCACAGTGCAAGAATGAAGGAGTGATAGGTCTGTTGAGCCCTTTAAAATTCCAAACTAGTAATTCTGCACACTGGTAACTGTGCTGATCTTTAGCTGCCTGTTCCTGGATGTTTGTCCTGGTTTGGCTTGGTGAAATCAGGAGAGTTTCCTGGTGAAAGGGGAGCTTTAGACTCCAGGAGTTTCTCTGTCTCCCCTGACCTTTTTTTTGGGCTCTGCTCCAGAAGTGAGATCCTCACCCATTGTGGTGACTGCTCTGCCTCTTGTTAATAGGGAGTAAATATTTTCTCGTTTTCCTCTTGGTTATTTCAGTACTCTGCCACTTCAGGGCACTGTTTTCCCTGGAAGCTGGGGAAACTCCAGGTGCCAGAGCTGTCACCTGGGGTAACACTCTTTCAGGCTGCTGTCTGAATGCCGGCAGAGTGTGTTCCTGGGGTACTGAGTGATCAGAGGGGTTTTTTAACGGTTCTCCCTCTTGAAAAAGAGCCTGAGTATAGTTTGGAATCTTCTTTAGTATGTATATCTGACCCTGGAATCAAATATTACACACCAGTGTTGTACAGGAGAAAACTGCTGCTGAGCATTTGGTGCCCTTCTCACGTGAATGGGCAGAGAGAACATCAGAAAAAGGAATTTTTCCCAGAACAGGGCATTCTGCTCCTTGTGCAGTGTCCCCACGTTCAGAGCTGCGTGCTGCTAAGCAGATGGGTTTAGCTGCTGTGCTCCCTCTCTTCCTCTGTCCCAAATGTCATGGCTTGTGTGGGCACAGGCAGAAGGAGAATTCAGCAGATGTGCTGTTCCTGTGCAGAGTGGGCCCTTGCTGTGCACCACGCTGCTCTGCATGCTGAATGCCTTTTCCTGGATCCGTGTGGATCCAGAGGCGTTTCCAGACGTGGCAGCTGGTCCTGCTGTGGCCCAGCCTGTGGCTCAGTGTCCCAGTGACCCCTGGCCAGGGTGGGACACCACCCTCCTGGGAGCCTGCTGCTCCTGGAGTCCCAGGGTGGGCCCTGAGGGAAAGCCAGTGTGGACAGCTCGGGCTGCAGGAGAGAGAGGGGATTTCTGTGCAGTAACCGGTGCAATGTCTTTATTTAGCAGTGTGATGTACCCAGGTGAGAGCTCCCAATAAATACTGCTTCTGATGCCTCATCAACGGCTGCTGTGTCTTTACTTGTGAGCAGTGATGGAGAAGGGGCTATTTTGTGTCCGTGGGTGTGATGGGTGTGCAAACGTGAACAATTCACCTGGGCAGAGTTTTCCCTGGGTGAGATTCTGGCCCTGCAGGGTGTGTTGGTTGGTGCCTTGCTGACCCTGGGTACCAACCAGCCTCCTCACCCTCGTCGTTCTTCCTGCAATTCCTGCTGTTTTAGTTTTCATGTGATTTTCTCCTATCCTCTTGCTAACGAGTCCAATGACACTTCTAACCTGCCAGTAGTTCTGTGAAGGTAAGAGATCTTCTGTTTTGTCTGTGTGAGTCCTAAGGCAAGCCCGGCCTCCTGGTGGCTCTTGGAGCTGGAGAAGGGCAGGACAGCCTCTCCCTGCACTGCCTTCTTATGCCAATGCAGAAACAAGCCAGGTCATTGGAGCTCTGCTCCTTGATTTAAAGTCATGGTGTGGAGTGTTTAAAAATCATTTGTCTGGCAGTGGTTAAAATGAATAGCTGCTACTAGAATAGCTGCTACTTAGGATTCACTAAAAGCTGTAAGCTGACCTTCAGTCTCTGAAAGGGGCCTGTTATTTTAGCAGGTTTTGGGGCATCCCCATGTATTCCACAAGCAATTCCACCTATCTGTGGGCTGGCCCACAGGAAGAGAGGCCAGGCCAGGCCAAGCAATAGGTGTGTTTGGAGAGCAGCAGTGCAGGACGGAATGACAGACCTTGTCTGTCTGCTGGAGCTCCCCTCGGGCAGCAGCGTGGGGAAGGGAAGCGCTCAGTGCTGGTGGCTGTGGTCGTGGGTGGGTGGCAGAGGAGCCTGGTGGGATGGTGCTGAGGGTGCTGTGCGTGCCCATGCGTGTGTCAGACATCTCCCATCTCTGAGCAGTGGTACCCGTGGTGTCCCTGGGCCGTGTCGCCAACACCTTCCCTGGCATTATTTTTTCATTGATTTGCCCTCCCTCTCCTGCCCATTTTCCATGCATGGTGGTGGTTTCCATCTGCCATTCCTGTGCGATGTACCCTTGCTGTGATTGCAGAGCTGGTTCAGTAACAGCCTCTCTTGTGTTCGTAGGTGTGCAGAGGGCTCCGGGCCGGTTCCCCGCCGTCGCTCTCGAGCTCTGTAAAGGAGATCCCGGCAGGGACGGACGCGCCTCGTACCAGGGTCAGCCCGAGATGCTGGAGGGGAAAGTGCAGCACAACTCAGAGCCGGAGTACTTGGCCAGAGATGGACCTTCAAGCAACAGCTCCTTCTACAGCAGCGAAGGAGAGGGGACAGACCACGAGGGAGATATTCTGGATTGCAGCGGGTCCAGGCCTTTACTGATGGATTCGGAAGAGGAGGAGGAGACGTGCAGGTTGTGCCCGGGGTTCCTGCAGCCTGTGCCCAGGCACGAGGCCTCCAAAGAGGATCCCCAGTCCCAGGCCAGAGCAGGGGAGCCACTGTTCCCGGCCTTCCAGTCGCACAGCGGGGAGGCTTTTAACGAACCCGACGTGTTTGCCACGGCCCCTTTCCGAAGCTCCAGGAAGGTCCCCGATGAAGTGGATGTCTTTACCAAAGCTCCTTTTATCTGTAAGGGCAACGCGGCTCTGCGGCATCCAGAGGAAACAGATGTGTTTCTGAGAGCCCCTTTCACCAAGAAGAAAAGCGTGGAAGAGTTGACTTGCCACAAGGAGCCGTTCACAGCGCCCGTTTTCCTGAGCCAGGGAGGCGACGGCCGAGCTCAGCCGATGTTCCCGGGCCTGGATCCGGCAGCGCACGGCTCCGTGGCCTCGGCGAGAGCTCCGCATCCTTCTGCTGCCTTTGCCCAGCCAGGCAATGTCCACCCCTGCTCCGTCAGAGCCGTGGAGGCCCAGGAGAGCAGCCCTGCCAAAGCGGCGCTGCCCGAGCAGGGCGACGCGCTGGGCTCCGTGGCCAAGCAGCCCTTCCGTCCGCAGTCCCTGTCCAAGTACTCCCGGCACTACGGCCCCGCCGACGGGCCGGGGCTGGAGGCCCAGCCCATAGCTGCTTACAAAGTGGTGTCTCACACCAACAGACAGGCCATAGCGGGCTCTGTCTCGGTTGTCCCGCTGTCTTCCAGGACTACGGAGCTGCCCGGCGCTGATCCCTTCGCCTCGGCGCCCTTCCCTTCCAAAGCAGCCAAGCAGAAGCCTTGACGTGCCTGAGCAGGGGCTGTGCTGCCTGCAGGGCCGCCTCGTGAGGGCCTCAGACCTCTGCGCTGGACTGAATGACATAGCAATATATACATATATATATATAAAGTAATTATTATTTTTGGTCAGAACTCTATTTGCAGTGATATATAGTTGAACCATTTAAGTTATGTTTTTCCGAATGCCGGGCTCTCAGGATCCTCGTATCCTTTCCAGTTGCTTCTCACCTTCCTCCTCTCACTGTCTTCCCTCCATTTATTTTTTTTTGAAGCTTTTCTCGAACCAGCAGTATTTCCATATTTTCTGGGGTTCTCCTGGGTGGAGGAATGCACTACAAGATGAATTAAAAGGTTTATTAATTACAGAGCGAGTCAAGCAGGACTTGCTAATGCTCTGGAAAGGACATGATTTCACAGGTTAAAGGCTTATTGTGACTTTTGCTCTCAGTGACATTCCTGCTGCTCGGCAGCAGCGGCAGCCACGGCCCTGTGGGTGCTGTGCCACAGAGGCAGAGCCGTGCTGGGATGTCTGGTGCCAGTCTGGGCAGTGCTGGTGGGAGCAGAGCCAGGGCAGCAGCACAGCCGTGGATGGAACACGAGGCCGTGCTGCTGCCCCGGGCTGGGGCTGGGGCAGGGAAGCTGTTGTGAGCCCAGTGAGGCAATCAGGCTGCTCCTGGTGCTGGAAAATCAACGAGCAAACAATCGGCAGAGCTTTCACTTTTCATGGTTGCGATGACAATGATGATTTTAGAGCAGAAATACTTGGGTCTGATGGCAAGCTGCCTGACCAGCCAGGGCCGGAGTTTGGCCTTGACTGGGAGGGTTTCCCTAAAGTATCTTACAAACAAACTTTTATTAATAATCAATGGTAACATGAACAACCTACAAAGGATATAAATAATGTCAGGTAATTAACTTACAGCTCAATCCCTTTATAAAAACTCCATGTATTAGCATTACGATATAAACAATATATTCAGAATTACCAATCATCCCAACTGTTTCTTGTGTAAATATGTTTAAAGTTACGGCCCAAACCTCACAAACCAGTCACTGAACAAGCTCCATTCATCTTGTCCCTTCAGTTTCCCCAGCTGATGATGGAGTCAGAGTAAGAGGCTGGTCAGACCACCTTTGCAGGTACCCATCGTGGACCAGAATATGTGGAACCATGAGAATATCCTCCCCTCCAGGTTATTAATGGAAAGGGACCTTCACATTTTCTACTTTCAGGATTCTTAACAAATACTTGAGCTTTTTCTAGGTGAGTTTGTGATCCACTGAAAGGGCATTGGACTGGGGTTAGGTCATTCTGAAGGTGATTCAAAAAATTTATATATATATATATATATATATATATATAAGGTTTCTTGCAGTCTTTTGTGGGGGTATACCCTATCACCAAGTTGGAAGAGACCTTCAAGCTCATCAAGTCCAACCCAGCCCCAACACCTCAACTAAACCCTGGCACCAGGTGCCACATCCAGTCTTTTTCTGCACACTTCCAGGGATGGAACTGTGACAACAACAAAACCCCTCCAGCAACATTTTTAGAGAATCAAGGCTTTACTTTGCTTCATGCAAGGATGTGCAGCAGCAATAATTTCATCCACACACAGCCCGGGCATTCAGAGGGAATCACTCTACGACACGTGAGTTTTGGTAGATTTTTTCACCTCTTTTACACAGTCACAACCCCATAGAAATTCGTTGGTTCGAGGGAGGTGGTTTTAGTTTTAAATCTGTGTTCCCCCAGGTCGGTTGTAGCTGGATGGGATCAGTGAGAGACGCAGAGAACGGCTGTGAGAGCAAACTGTGAATTCAAGGACAGCCACCAGCCTGTGTGACAGCCCCGCTGAGCCAGGAGCTGCCCCTGAGCTCTGCACTCTGCTGGGAAGCTGCTGGGAGGGAGGTCAGGCCCTGGTGCTGTGGGATGGACCCATGGATCAGGGAGGTGCTTTGCTGGAGTGAGCCGGTACCCTGTGTGCGCCACGTGGGTTCGGGGTGTCACCTCTGCTCACTGCATTCAGGTTCTCCTTCCTTCTCTTCATTTTTACTTGAAAAATTGCTTCTGAATAATCCAGTGGAGCTTCTGTCAGTGCCACGTGCAGTCGCACAGAGCTGGTGCTGGAGGAGCATCAGCCTGTCCCTTCACGCTGGGAGCAAGGGAAGGTGCACTGAGCCGCGCGGGCTCCACTCCAGCCCTGCTCAGCCCAGCTCAGGCTGAATTTCCAGCTGGCATTTTGGCAGCTTTTCTGTCCTCCAGGCACTTTACAGGAACAGCAGGCTGACTGTGCCACAGAGCTCATGATCCTGCCAGACATATCCAGTTCTTAAACTCTTTTAAATCTCTTCTAGGGGTGGAGGCAGCTCGTTTGTATCTCTGCGTGTGACTCATAACGTAATGGGATGTCTGGTTATGGTCAGAAGACTCAATTTCAGTGCCTGTTAGTCTAATACCCTTCTCATTTCCAGCCTGTTTTCCTCCTAATCCTATACTACCACTGCTGCAGCCTCAGCGTGATGAGTTGTAAGTGGAAATTTAATTTCCATAGCATCTGAAGCTTATTGTTTTAATGAATGTGGAAGAATCATGGTAATTATTTGCCACACAATCAGTGATCTTAATGAAGTGAGACTTACACAGACTCAATGGGTGTGTTTTGAAATCAGTTTGCTGAAAAGAACCACTGGTTGCACGTGTTTTGTAACGCTGTAGTAAGAGGTGTTCACTGCCCTGCGCCCGTACCACGTCAATCCTGGATTCCTGCTGGCAGAGGGACTGGCTCCTGCTTCTCACCCACGGAATGCACTAAAGTCTCTGTTCAAAGTGATCAGTCAGAGTTTCTGCCCGAGTGAAACAAGCAGCTGTCTCTCACTGCCTGTCGTCCCCAGCTGCTGCAGGACTTTGGGGGTTGTCCCAGTGTCCCCTCTCCTGCCGTCACCCCGACCCCGTGTGAGCACTGGTGACACGGCCTGATCGCGTCCTCAGTGCCACAGCAGCAAAACCGGGCGAGATCTGCTTAATTGCTGAACTCAATCACTCCAAAGTGCTAATCAGTTATTTAACTCAGCTTCCACCAAAGACTCTTGTGTTGGGGAGTTGAATTTTTGTGGGTTTTTTTAATTTCCTCACAGTGTTAAATCAATGCCTTCAAGCACACTGACAGACCCCAAAGCATTTTTACGGTTGTATCATGACGCTGAAATCCTGCTCCAGTTCTGAAACACATTCCTGAAACCTGAACAGCTGCATGAGCATTTCTAGAAATAACCCACAGCCTGTAGTTTCTGCTGTAGGTGGGCAAACAGCCTCCCGCACACCTGGAAATACTCCCTGTGAAGTTAGAGGGATAATGTTGATCAGCGTTCCTGATCCCTTGCCTCCAAAGGGATGGGGTGGGAGGGCAGGGGGCTCGCTCTGGTGTGGGATGCAGCAGGTGGAGCATCCCACACACCGAGTCTGGCCCTGGAAAAACTCCTTTGTGTCCAGGAGGAGCTGGAGCTGGGAGTGTCCGTGGTCCCCACAGTGATGCACAGTGACACACAGTGACTTGTGTCCCCCGGTCCCCTCTGTGCCCCCCATGCCTGGCAGATCCCTGGGCACAAGTTTTGCACTCCGGTTGGGATCGTCTGTTCCTGGTAATCATGAAGAAATGTTCCACTTGTAAACTTATGTACATTTTATTAAAACTGTATCTGATGACAAGCACCGTCTCCGTTGTACCTTCCTTCTCCCCTCTCCATGGAAAATACTTTTGCTGGATAAAGGGAATCTGGGTTTTAATGAGTTCTTCCTACTGAAGTTCAGAACTGGGTTTGGTTGTTTTATCTGGCAGCTGTAAAGCAGAGGATATTTCAGTTTATATCCAGTCTATATTCCAGAGAGAACCCTTCCCATGCAGGGCTGGACAGAGCCCTGAGCCCTCCCTGCAAAGCTGCTGCTCCTCAGTGGTTTTAATGCAGGGCTGGTGCATCTGGGGGCTCACTGTGTGCTGGTTAAACGTGTCTTTCGGTATCATTCAGCTGCAAAGACTCTCTTAAGTGTAAAACATTATTTGGGCTTTGCTGCGCCTCTTAATTTAATTCCTGTCTTGGTGTAAACGTCCTTTGAGAGACTCTGTGCTGCCTTTTGGTTCTGCAGAACTCCCTGGCGGGAGGGGACGGCCGAGGGGTCGGGCTGTGCTCCAGGGAACGGGGACAGGAGGGGAACGGCCTCAGGCTGGGCCGGGGCGGGGGCTCAGCCTGGAAATCGGGGAAATTCCTTCCTGGAAATCGGGGAAATTCCTTCCTGGAAACTGGGAAAATTCCTTCCTGGAAAGGGCTACCTCCCTCTAGCACAGGCTGCCCCGCGCAGTGCTGGAATCGCCATGCCCCCATCTGTGGGGGATTTAACAGCCTCACACCCGCTCAGGATCCTGCTCCGTGGGGTAATTCCCCTCACACCCGCTCGGGATCCTGCCCCGAGGGGTAATTCCCCTCACACCCGCTCAGGATCCTGCCCCGAGGGGTAATAGCCCTCACACCCGCCCAGGACATGCTCTGAGGGGTGTGGCACTCTGGCACACGTGTCAGTGCCGGCCCGGCCGTGCGGCAGCGGCGCTCGGTGGCCCCGGTGCCCCGGACGGAGCCCGCTCCGTCCCGATCGCCCCCCATGGCCGCCGTCCCCCTCGGGCGCTGCCGCCAGGGGGCGCCGCCGTGCCCGAGCGGCGGCGGGCGCGGCCCGGGGAGGGCCAAGATGGCGGCGGCGCGGCGGCTGTGCGCGGCGGCGGGGCTGGGCGGGCGGTAGGTGACCGCGGGGCCCGCGGCTGCCGCTGCCCCGGCACGGCTTTTTCCTGGAGGGAGCTCGGCTTTTTCCTGAAGGGGGCCCCTCTCGCCCCATCCTCGCGTGACTGAAAGGGGGCCGCGTCGCAGTTAGCGGCACTGCGACCTCCAGGGCCGCCCCGGGTGCTCCTTGCTCTTCCCCTTCCTTCCTCCATCGCGGACGGGGGTGACGCTTCTTCCTGGTGGGCAGTGAGAGGCTGTTTCTCCTGCTCAGCCCTTCCCAGCCGCAGGCTGGTGGCTCTGCGTGACACGCAGATCGTGGGTGCTCAGCCCTGTACACCCGGGGAGAACCGCGTGGGGAAATTCCCCTCACACCCACTGAGGGTCTTGCACAGAGGGTTAATTCTAACACATCCAGCTCAGGATTCTGCAGAGAGGGGTAATTCCACGCACCCAGCTCAGGATCCTGCACTGGGAGGTAATTCCCCTCACACCCGCTCAGGATCCTGTTCTGAGGGGTAATTCCCCTCACACCCGCCTCAGATCCTGCTCTGAGGGGTAATTCCCCTCACTCCCAGCTCAGGATCCTGCTCTGAGGGTAATTCCCCTCACACCCGCTCAGGATCCTGCTCCAAGGGGTAATTCCACACACATCCTGCACCCAGAAGTAATTCCCCTCACACCCACCTCAGAACCTGCTCTGAGGGGTAATTCCCCTCACACCCGCTCAGGATCCTGCTCCGAGGGTAATTCCACACACATCCTGCACCCAGGAGTAATTCCCCTCACACCCGCCTCAGAACCTGCTCTGAGGGGTAATTCCCCTCACACCCGCCTCAGAACCTGCTCCGAAGGGTGATTTCCCTCATACCCTGCATCTTGGCTCAAGATCAAGGGGTAAGGGGGAATTTCGAGGACCCTGTAAAATGGGATAGAATCATTATTAGCTAAAGGGAGATAACAGAGCTTCCAGGAGACCTTCCTTACACATCCTGTTGTGCTTTCTACCTGCGTACAGTTGCAGAAATCGGGTATTCACAGTAGTGAAACTGAAGCCTGTTACTCCATCACTCTGTCTTGCTTTTCCTTTTTAATGTTTTTTTTTCTTTTTTCCCCACTGCTCTCCCCCCTTTACCTTTGTCTAAGCCAATGACACCACCCCAGGTGTGTCTTGCTGAGTCCCTGGGCAGCTAAAAGCATCTGCAACACTCTCTCTTTGGGACAGTGCAAATGTGGAATTTGGAAATTGTTAGTAAAGTTATTTTTCTTATAGGTTCTGTCACATGCTGTTAAAAGATCATAATCTGACAACTCGCCAGCCTTTCCACCAGCTTCTGCAAAAGAAACCATCTCTTCCATCTGCAGCATGGCATCGTGCAGGTAAATACCAGTTCAAAGTGAACAGATGAGCATATTGTGGGGTTTTCTGTCCTGTGGTAATGCTGAAAGTTTGCTTTTTAGTAAGTAAAAGTTAGGAAAAGAAGCTAAGCCAAGGTTCCTTTTATCCTTCATCTCCTGTGAGATGACGTGCCCAGGTTCAGCAGTGTTCCTGTGGTCTGGGATCACCCTGGGCTTGCTGAGTAATCAGGACTTGACTTTCATTTAAGCTCCTTAGGTTTGATTATATTACTTTTCCTCTTTGTTTTTGTCTTTGCAGCAAGAGGCATGTTTATTCAAACCCAGGACACACCAAATCCAAATAGCTTGAAGTTTATTCCAGGAAGGGCAGTGCTGGAGTCGAGGACTATGGAGTTTTCCACACCAGCTGCAGCCTATTGCTCACCTTTAGCAAGGTATTATTATTCCCTTTTAAACAGAATTTAGAATAAAAATTTCCAAAGAATTAACAGAAGCTCCCTGGAGGAAGAGAATTACTTGATTATTTCAGATGGTTTGGTACACTTGCATAATTCCATGGTTTAAGTCTTTTCAAAATCCAGTTGATTTAGCGATGCAAATGCTCAGTGCATGTACAACTGTTTCATGTGTAGAAATTCTTTCAAGTGGGTATTGTGAAATCACTTCTATAATTTTCCATTACACATACTTTTGTGGTAAGATTTCAGATACTTTCATTCATTGCATTTTTGATGTTTTCCAGTCTTCCAAGAGAATATATTTTCTTCTCCCTGTAATTCAAAAACAATCTTACACCCTTATGCTGTATTTACCTCCAAGTTCACCACAGTTTTAGGGTTTTTTTCCGTAGATGAAATTGTTGGGTTAACCATATTGTTAATTGTTAAAATGAAAACTCAGTTTGTTTGTCAATTTGGGACTAATATTTTTGCCCATTCCCCCCCCCCCCCCACATTTTTTTTCCTTAACAGACAGTTATTCCGGATTGAGGGAGTTAAAAGTGTTTTCTTTGGGCCAGACTTCATCACAATCACCAAGGTAAGCGGAGCTGTGCTCAAAGATGAGCTGTGTGAAATGGCCACAGAGCAGATCCAGACAGGCATGGTGGAGGTTCCAGAGAAGTCCACAAGTGCCTTTAATATGACACAGAACAAGTTCAGAGGGTGATAAATTGGCACACTGACAGTCCTGAGTCTCTGAAACAGCTGATAAAACTATCTGTCAAATAACGTATTTTGGAGACTTTCACACCTTCTTAGCTAATATTTTAAAAGCACTTGCTTGGCTTGCAAACAAGGAGACCCTTCTTTGGCTGGTGCAGTCTGAGTCTGACTAAACGTTTTTGGCAAAGCTGGACTTGAGAGAACATGAAATCCAATCTGGGCATCAAATATGAGAGACCATGATGGCATTTTTAACGTGAGAATCTCTCTGGAACCTAGTAGCAGCAGGCAGGTACTCTTCTTCATTCTTTTTCTTTCCCCTCTTCTGATTGTCACAGGAGAGTGAAGACCTGGATTGGAACTTACTGAAACCAGATATTTATGCAACCATAATGGACTTCTTTGCCTCTGGCTTACCTGTAGTTACTGATGAGGCACCTAGGACAGACACAGGTAAATCAAATCTTCACGGAGAGGCCAAGTCTGCCTTTGGGTTTAGCTTTTGTGACACCCAGAAGAGCCTCCACTTCTCCCTCAGAAAAGCATGCAGGAGAATTTAAATTTAAAACCTCTTAAGGTGGCCTCAGGCAGGAGTTTGCAGCCTGGAATTCTCTCAGTGTTCTGACTTACACTTTTTCTTTTCCCAAGCTGCTTCAGAAGAAGATGATGAAGTTGTACTGATGATTAAGGAGCTGCTGGATACAAGAATCAGGTAGTTTACACTCCAAAGGAAAATTTCCTAATGGAAAATCCTGGCATTCAATGGATTTTGGCCTTGCACTCTGCTGTGATTTTATTGGTGCTTTAACACAGTTTGAATTTAGAAGCTGGTGGTAACTAACGAAGTCTCCAGAGTGGCTGTGGCTGTGTTGTTTACCTGAAGAGTATTTTTGTGCTCATTATCTGCCTTCCAGAGTGAACTGAAAGCAATAAGCAACTTGACATTTGAGGTGCAGGGGAAGATGGCTGATGTGTTTGTGATATCTGAGGGTGACATCTTCCCCAGCTCACAAAACTGCAGGAACCAGAGGAACCAGAAACTTGAAACTTTAGTTTTTTGGGGTTTTTTTTTAGCTGCTGCATTTAAAGTGATATCACATAATTTAACAATTTATCTCACAGCAGACACACGGTGCTGGTTAATTTTCCTGAAAAAGCAAGAAAAGTAGAAATAAGCTGGAACATATTTGCCAAGCATATGTACTAAGTGTTGAAACCAGAAGCCAATTTCTGCCCAAAATTCTGCTTTTCCCACCTTTTCATTTCTTTATTTCCTCCCCTTGCACCCATCAGTGCACCAAGAAGCTGTTGATGAGAATGTCAGCTGTGGTGCATCTTCCTTCATTTTTTAGCAGGGTATTCTCAGAAATTATCTGTCAACCAGGCTATACATAGAGCATTTATTGTCCAGCAGATCAAAATTAAATGCAGAGGAGCTGTCACAAGGTGCAGGATGGAGGGGAATGTACATCTGTAAGGTCCTGTAGCGTTTCAAAAAGTTAATTCAAGTAAGAAAAATGGAATTTTAAATCATGATCTTTGGCTTTCAGGAATGGAGATAATTTGCTGTGGTGAGTTTATAAATGTGTCAGGTTCACAGATTTTCCTGTTAGGACTGTAGCTCTCAGAGAGTTATTTTGGAAATCAGTATAAAGAGCTTCTGTTAGAGTAACTCGATGGTTTTAACTTGGTCTGGAAAAATGTTGCTATGGGGACAGAGCTACAATGCTGGGCATTTGTGGCTGGCAGAGGGAGAGCAGGCTGCAGAAATGCTTGTGGCACTGGGGTGAGCTTATCAGGAGCTGCTTCCTCCACCCCTGAGCAGGATGAAACTTTTATAGTTGGGGCTGTTTTCTGTCCTGCCTAAATTGTGGAGAACTGCATATTTATTCACGGAATAAATGGGTTTCTTATCACAGATGACAGCTGTGCTGCACCCGTGGGGGGACACGCCCCTGAGGTATTTTTTGGCAGTAGGAGGCAAGGATTGCCTCCTGGAAACCAGGCTGAGCTCTGCCCCAGGGTGTTCACTCTCTACCCTAAAATCTCAGTGGTTCCTTCATGCACTGCTGCATTAACTACAAACACGCTTTGCCTACATATAACGTTTCTATGTTAGATAGCCCAGCAGAGCAGGAGTTGTTGGAAATGTGAACCAGGTGGTTGTAGAGAAATGGTGACTAAATCCCTCTGTCATGTCTGTTATTGTGAGTATTAAATACTGCTTTAGTGGGGGTTTCTGAAGGAGCCCTGTTTCAGCTCTAGCAGCTTTAAGCTGAGTGCTGTGTTCCCTCAGGCCCACGGTGCAGGAGGATGGTGGTGATGTTATTTACAAAGGCTTTGAGGACGGGATTGTGCTGCTGAAGCTGCAGGGCTCGTGCACCAGCTGCCCCAGCTCCCTCATCACCCTCAAGAGCGGGATCCAGAACATGCTGCAGTTCTACATCCCTGAGGTGGAAGGCGTTGAGCAGGTGGGTCGGGGAGACATGGCTGAGGTTTTCTTTTCCGTGGAAAAGGAGCTCTTTGTCCCTTTCCAGCGGGGCAGGGTGGCAGTTAGGGAACACCAGGGCTGTATGGATGCAGGTTTTCCAAGTCAGCTGGAGAGCTCTGCAGGGTCCTGTGCCCAGAGCTGGGCACACTGCAGACACCTTTGTGATGTGATAAAGAGCAAGGAGCTTTGTCCCCTGAAATTCAGATTCTTTGGCTTTCTCATGAAATGTCTGATCTCTGGAGCGATTGTTTTCCTGGCCTTTGTGGGAGCTTGACCTGCTCCTATAATTAAAGCTCATTTCCTCCTGGCATTTTGGATTGCCCGTTTTTCTTACCTTCCTCCCGAGCCCGTTGTCGTTCAGTGGTGTGGAATAACTGCTGTTCTCCTTGGGCCCAGCAGGGATTTAATGTAATAAATCCTGCAGGACTGAGAGCTTAAACTGTTTATCTAAACTACTTCTGGATTTGATTTCAGGTTGTTGACGATGATGATGACGTGGAGAAAAAAGCAAATTCTACTTGACTTCGTCATCTGTGGCCAGATAAACATTTACCTCCTGCTGTATGTAAACCACCTTTGTGTGAGGAGCAACCAAATCTGCCTTGTCAGAAAAACAGTTGTGCTTACTGTGAGAATGTACCAGCAGTTCATCCACTAACTTATTAAATGCCCTGGATTACAAAAAAATTATTCTGCTATGTCTTTAGAAAGAAATGGTGGGCTCAGAAAACAGTGATGTATTTCTTCATTGTTTTTTCATACAGAAACTTCAGTACTGGAAAAAAGAGAAGGCAGAATTTCCTTGGCTTTTTTGTGCAATAGCAGTATTAAATGGTTATTCCCCCAAACTGTGGGACTGACAGGACTCTGTGCTTACTCTGTAAATGAAAGCTTTGGGAATGTTTTATTAAGTCTTGTTAAAAAGCTGCTGATTCCTATAAAATTTCTGTGTGTGAAAGATAACCTATAACATCAACTGTTCATTTTGGGGGATGTAACACTGTGGAAAGTTACCTCCTTGCTCATTACCACTGTGCAAACCATAGCAACAGAAACAAAAAACGTTTGTTATAAAAACCATACATTCTAAAGCAAATGTTAGAGAAGAATGATCCTTATCAGCTTCAGTAAGTAGGCTAGTCAGCTCGTTTGGCAGTAAAATCGTTCAGCCACCATGCAAGAGCTGATTTCTCAGCATCAGGAGGCAGGTGCAGGGCTGGAAGCACAGGGTGGCAGAGGGAAGCAGCCTGGGTTTGTGTTTGCTCCTGCCACGTCCTGTTTGCCCGGGACGTGGCAGAGCAGGGCTCCTTCAGTCCTGCACCCCACGGCAGGGAAGTGTTTGCTGTTCTGACGTTGGAACGCATAAATGGGGCTTTGCAAGGAGCTGTGTTTACTTTTGTGTGTAGGAATGATTTCTTCCTGGTGCCTGGCTTTGTGACCAGGAATTCTGTTCCTTCTTTGTGCTGCCACCACGGAGCTGAGTTTGTGGTCCTCATGTGGCTTAGGATTGGCTTGACAGCCTCTGGTGTGTTCCCCTCTTTCATCCCTTGCCAGTGCAATTATTCCTCTAATAAAGTCCCTAAACAGGATCAGTTCAGCTGCTGGAGAATCTCCTCTACAGCACATCAGCATGTGGTAACCATAAACTACCTGACGTTGTGGGTTGTTTCCTGTGTTTTTTAAAGAAATAGTTTTTGTTGACATTTTAGTGTAATATAAAGTTGAATGAATGGCATTTCTCTAGAGGCATTGCTCTCTTCTGTAGCCTCAGGCCTTCAGTAAGTTTCCCAGCAGGGTTTGATGGAGGTGGCTGCAGACAGACAGCATTGCTGAGCTCTCAGCTGCACGGCTGTCACGCCTTGGTCACTTACCCTGTCCCAGTTTGCTTTTCAGATTCATCTTAATGCTTTCTTTCTCTTGCTCCTGAATGGTGCTGTTGTGGAGCAGGGCTGGGGAATGATGCAGCCCGTGTCACGCCCGGGGCCGCCGGTTCCCTGCCCGAGCCCGGAGCAGCCTTGGTTCGTCACCCGGTGATCTCCGGACGCTGAGTGCTGCGGGAGGGCCCGGGGGTGATCCCGGGGGTGCTGCTCCTGCCTGGCCTCAGAGGGAATTACCGGGGGGAACACCTCCCCTCCGCTGCCCGGGGCTGGCTGTTAACGGGAAGGGTCCGGGAACGGGCGTACCCCGGTCTGGGGTTGGGAATTACCGGGAACGGTCTGGGAACCCCGGTCTGGGGTTGGGAATTACCGGGAAGGGTCTGGGAACGGGCGTACCCCGGTCTGGGGTTGGGAATTACCGGGAAGGGTCTGGGAAAGGCGATACACCGGTCTGGGGTTGGGAATTACCAGGAAGGGTCTGGGAACGGGCGTACCCCGGTCTGGGGTTGGGAATTACCGGGAACGGGCGTACCCCGGTCTGGGGTTGGGAATTATCGGGAAGGGTCTGGGAACGGTCATACCCCGGTCTGGGTTGGGAATTACCGGGAACGGTCTCCCCCCGGGCCGGATCAGGGGGCTGGGGATCACCCCGTGTGCCGGGGCCGTTTCCGCCGCCCGGCCCCCCTTTGTGCGGACGCGGCCCCGGCAGCGGCTGCCACGTCCCGGGCGCGGGCGGGCGGGGCCAATGGCGGCCGGGGCGGGCCGGGGCCTGCGCCGGGCCTGGCGCGAGGGGCGCGGCCCCGGCACAGGCACAGGCGGCTCAGGCGGCTGCGGAGCGGGACGGGACGCACCATGTGCGGTGAGCACCGGCCGGGGGGCGGCGGGGCCCGGGCCGGCGGGGCAGCCCCCGGGCGGGCGCCGGGAGGCCGCGGCCGGGCGGGGACGGAGGGCACGGCCGCGGCAGAGGCGGCCCGGCCCCGTTATCCCCGCGGGCTCGCACCGTGCTGGGGACTGAAAGGGCGAATTGTCGGCAGATCGCGGGGATGTGCGGCGGCAGCGGCGGACAAGGCCCCGTGCCCCCGTGCCGGTGGGGCTGGCTCGGTGCTCGGGGACGCCGGGCCGGGCCGGGGCAGTCCCGCCGTGGCTCCCGGGCCGGGCCGGGCCGGGCCGCTGGGAAGGGCTGCTCCGGTGGCGCTGCCGGCCGTGACTCCGCTGCTGTCGGAGGCACCGCTCCCACTCCGGTGCCGGTACCGGTGGTGGGTTTCGGGCGTTGCAAGTCCCGGTAATTTGTGTTCCGCAGGTCGGTCCGGGCTGGCTCGGTGCGGCCGCGGGCCCGGCTGTGCCGGACCGTGCCCGGGCTCGGCCGGGGCCGCTTCTGCCTCTCCTTCCACTCCGCTTCCCGTGGCAGTGCAGCCGCGCTGCCCCATCCTTCACACACGGGAATGTCATTTATCTTTCCCCTATCCCGTTGTCTTCATGTTTTTTCATGGAAATTTACCAAACAGCGATCTGTTGGATTTTCCTATTTTCTTTCGACCCTACCTTCTTTTTTTCTTTTTTTTTTTTTCTCTGTATTTTTGTGTACAAAATTATGCTCTCAGCGGGACTGTGGGTTTTACACTTAATGTGCAAGTTGCCATTTCTCTCTTTGTTTTTGCGGGATGGAACCGGCATTGCCTTCAAGCTGTCAAGCTGTGGAGAATCAGTCAGAGACTCATACCTCAGCTCACATTTAACACCGTGTTAATTCGTGTTGGAAGTACAAAGCAGAGCAAAGCTAAGAATAGAAAGGATAATTATTATTATAAATAGCTTGTTGCAAGAATAGGGGTGGTTTTGGTGCCTCGTGCTTGCCGTATTTGAGGTCCGGCCTCTGAAATGTGCAATATTAACACTCTGCTCTTTGTGTTTTCTGCTGTGAAAACACCGGGCAGTTCCTCAGCTGTGTTCAGGATTTCAGGTGTTTCCCCGCTTTTTGATACAAGTGAAGTTCTTGGATATTGAAACATTTTATGGGAAGAGTGAGAAGAGCGTTGGGGATTACTGTCACTGTTGCTGATGGTTGCTCTGAGAGTCGGGGATGTATCCAGGGGTGAGAGGGCTGCTGGTTTGTCTGGAGCAGAGGACCCTGATTTCCCTGATTTCCCTGATTTCCCAGGCTCTGGCAGCTGCAGGGCCTCAAAACACAACATTTCTGTCATGGAATTGAGGCTGGGGATGGATAAACCTGTTTTTATCCTGCCAGGTTGAGTTTTAAAAGAAATAAATATGTCGGTGGTGCTGTTGTTACCTGAATTCTGAGATACCTCAGTATCTGAAAGGTTAGGATGAGTTTTAAAAGAAATAAATGTGTCAATGGTGCTGTTACCTGAATTCTCAGCTCCCTCAGTCTGTGACACTGAAGGGAGAGCTTCAGCAGCTTCCAGACTGGAATTACCAATGTTTTCAGCCTGATATTCAGGTTTGTGACCCTACAAAATCTGATGGGCTTGTGCTGCTGGACGAGTAAAGGAAAGGAGCCTCCAGTGCCTGGTGCCTGCTGTGAGCCCTGTTTAGACGTGCTGGGGGTTTGTTTCTAATAGTGTCAGTGAAAAACGGGCTTTGTCCTTGGCTGTGTGAAACACAGGTGCAGTTTGAACACCTGGCCAGGTGTGAGTTGGGTCCGAGTGGACCAAACCAGTTCCATGGCACCTGGGAGACAGTTCAGGAAACAGGTTTTTCCAGGGCTCCACTGACTGTTCTGTAAATCAGTAAACCCCTCATATGCCATGGCTGGATTTAATGACCAAAAGGGATGGCGGAATTTGGGTTTGGGTGGCAGAATTTGGGCTTGGGATGGCAGAATTCAAGTCTTGGTTTGCTAGTGATTCCTGAGGATAAAAGTGGGCTTAGGAAAGACTTGAGTTTCTAGCTCTGGGGTTGCATGTCCATCAGTGGGGACGTTCAGCCCTTCCTCATGGGTTACACCTGGCTGTTCCTGGTGTCTGCCTTGGAGTGGAGCATGGAGCTGTGGCCCAGAGAGGCCTGGAATTGCTGCTCTGGTTGTTTACTCTGGGCAGGATTTCTCCTGTTTTCCTTTTAGCTGGAGAGGGAGCGTGGGCAGCGAGAGAAATGTCCAGTGGACAAATGTGGATCCCCACAGGGTGGATGTTTTTCTGGTTTTGCTTGTTTTCCCAGTCTGGAGGTGATGAATGGAGTGTCAGCTCTCCCAGCCATAACAACGATAGAGAGCTTTCTGACCTTGTGCTCCTCAGACTGGGCAGAAAAAGGGAGGTTTTGGGACACAGGGACTGGCACCTCCCTGAACTGCTGGGCAGCAGCAGCTCCTCCAGCAGGGCTGAGCAGCAGTTCTGGGATAAAGCATTCCTTGGAATTGCCAGGTCTATGGAAATGAGTTAACAGTAATAGCAAAAGGAATTTGGAAGTGAACCCAGCCCGAAGGCTCTTCTGCTTTTGTAGGAAAAGGATTGCAGGAAGCAATTCCTTCATGCTCTCAGTCATTTACCTGGAAGGGATGATGCATTTCATTTGCCTCTGAACATGCCATGAAATTAAGGAACCTGAGCTCCAAAAAAGTTCATGAGGAACATAAAGTTCCCAGAAAAAGTAATGTGGCTGTCAGCTTTAGAAATCAATAATGCCTGTTTGTTGAAAATGTTATTCTGTTAAAATGACCAACTCTTTACAGGGAATTCTTTACATAGCTGGTGTTAAGAAGGTGTGGGATTTGTGTTTGAATATTAAAAATCAGCTCTGTGAGAGAGGTGAGTGTCAGAAGCAGCTGAATGCCTGCTCTGGTGGTTCCCCAGGTAAGGTGTTTGAGGCAGACCTGCAAGAAAGGAAATGTTTTATATTCTAGGTTATATTGTTCAAGGTATTTCACTTGGGAGAAATGCATAGAGAACCTGTTACTGTGGATCTCTGCGATTCAAGAGCTGTCTGATAAGCTGACATGCTCTGAATTGCTCTTTCCAGTCCACACATGCAAAGTCCTGGGTCGGGTTAGTAGCTGAAAGGTTTTATTGTGGAGTGCCACTGCTGTTCTAATTCTGATTTGCAGTGGTGTGGAGTCCTGAGACAGGGCTGTTGT